GGTAAAAGCATTCCTTAGAACTGCCTTTACACGAGACAGAGAGGGACTCAGAATGATTAGTCCCTAATGCTAGCAAAACCGGGTCCTGTAATTTTGCCCTAGGCGACTTCTCACTCCTTCACCCAAGTCTGTCTCGATTTTAAATAAACAATCTGGAAGGTCTGCTCTTCCTCTTTTTACTTTAGGACCCTCTTTTGGTAACATGGTAATGTGGCCAGATCAAAACAATCTTAGTCAAAAATATCCAATTTACTACTGTAGCATGGTCTAAACAAGAAGACAGCTTACAGACAATTTGTCTTTTTATATTTTATTACAAAACATACCATTTCAACAATCTTATTTTAACGTCACTTAGTATTTCCAAAATAACCCCCAGCCTTAGCCACCAGTCATTTCCTCTAGCGACGATTTTTGCTGCACGGATTATCGTCGCTATGCAGGGCACCACTGTAGTAGGACTTTCTGGAATGGAGGGGTGGGGCTTGGAACTGAACCCCAGCAGATACCACGATCTTATTGTACGTGTGATGGACTATCGGTATTCATGGTAAACGTAACTTAACTTGGCTAATTGACAACATGTTGAGGTTCATCTCAGTTGGTCATCTGGGCATCAGTTCACACACAGGACCTTACCAATTGTTTGCAATTCGTCACAGTAGCTTACACGTGTAAATACGTTCACACACAGGACCTTACCAATTGTTTGCAATTCGTCACAGTAGCTTACACAAATGGTGTAAATACTAGTGGGATTCTGGCCACCAGTCTGTTCAAATCCGTTTTTTACTTAGCTAGTCGCTTACCCAAAGTCCGCCTAAATTTAAAGGCCTTTGCATCTCACCAGAAGAACAGGGGGCAAAGCTTAACTTCCTGGGCATGAGAGTTCCACAGCTTGGGAGCAACCACAAAGTAGGTCTTCTTCACGGACGCCTATTCAGACGCACACTGCTTTTACGTCCCAGAGATAGCGTGTAGAGCCTTTATGACTGGCAGCCCCTGGTAGCTTTTATCGTCTATGTATTTGATTTTTCTACATCTGGTTGCTAGGCGAAAGGAGAGACCTTTTAATATAAAGGAGATCTCCATAATGCAAACTTCCCTCCTGCGATCCAAACCATGATAAAGCCTTCTTGATTTCCTCTCTCTTCTCCAGATCTACAACCTGGTGCCCTTCTGAATATATCGGACTAAGATTCCTGTCAGCGCCAGCCATTACGACCAGTGACTGGGCATTCTGGAAGTTGTGCAACTCCCAGAAACGTATATTGGCTGGGGATGATAGGTGTCCTAGCGGACAATGTCTAGAAGACACCAGCTTGAGGAAGATCACTGTCACAATTTGATGTTGGACAGCCCTAATGGAATGGCCCCACCGTGAGAAATCTTTCTTGATGTCTTTCTCCTTTTGACTTCTAAAAAGGCTCTACAGTTGTAAAACCTGGCCTCATTTCCTGGCTGGAACGAGGAAAAGGTGTTTGGAAGTCAGGCTTCTCTCCAGATTGGGATGAAACAGAGATCTGTGCCAACAGCTCAGGTAAAGGGGTTGAGAGAAGCAAACTAAATTGTCTTTTTCTCTTCCTTTCTTCCTTCCTTTCTTCCTTTCTTCCTTCCTTCCTTCCTTCCGCCCCATTAATTAAGCAAAAACAAAAAATGAAATGATATGGTCCTGGCATAAGCAAACAAACAGAATTAAGTAAATTTAAGATGTCTTCGTAGATCTCACTTCTATATCCTGTTCTATAACTTATAAGGGTGACGATGTCACAGGCAGGAGTTGATTCCCAAGTAACCCTTTTTCATTGCATGACACCACAGGGCAGAAGGAGGAAGTCTTTAATTAAACAGACATCTCCTCCTGGTGGTAACGCTGTCCAGTGGCAGTGATTTTTAGTAAAGACTTCACTCAGTGAAAGGGATGACTTAAGTGTTGGAAAAGCTTTGGGAGAGAAGTAGGATGTTTTTGATTACCAAAAATCTCTCCCTCCCCATGATGTCATCAGCCTTCCACTGGTGAAGTTTATAAAACAGAATTGCAGCCGTAAAATAATACACTAATTTGCTCACCTGAATATTCCACTTGCCCTACTGCAGCAGGGATGGGAATTTTTCATCCTCGGCCTCTCCCCTAGAGTGCCCCACCATAAAAAGAAAAGTCTGGCTGCAAAATGGACCATCGTGCTTTCAGAAGCTTCTAGAAGTTATTTGATTTTCCTATTTTATCCTATGTTATAAGCCCCCCCGCCCCCAAAACAAGAATCAAACCCGACAACCTAAGTACTTCCAGTTCACATTCTCCTCCCCCCTTTCTTTGGAGGTGCTGGTGGTTGTTATGAGCCGTCCAGTCAGAACTGACCTACAGTGACCCTAATAGGACTTTCAAAGTAAATTAGATATTTTTAAGGAGGGGTTTTGCTAGTTTCACACCCGTCTCAGCAAGTTTCCATGGCCAAATGGGGAGTCGAGCCCTGGAGTGTGTGTGTAGGTGTGCGGGTGTGCAGGTGGGTGGGAGTGTGCACGTGTACAAATGTGCATGTTCCTTTGGCCCTCGAAAATATATGATGTGGCCCTCCATCTGAAAGGTTTGGAGACCCCTGCACTAAACCAAAGTGGGTATTCTTTGGGGATATCGGGTCATTTCGAGGCTTGATGCAGGGAGTAAAGTTTTGTTCCCTAGGCCTTCCAAATTTGCCCACCCTGTTGTAGAAGCCCAGACTTTCATCCCGTTTTCCTCACACCTGACATTCAGATTTCAGAAATATATCTTGCCTTTGACCCTTTTCTTCCTTCTGCCTCCCAAGCTGGTGACTCTGCAAAGCACCACCTTTGCCAGGTGTGTGGGAAGTGCTTCACTCAGAAACCGTACCTGGTCCAGCATCAGAAGATCCACACGGGGGAGAAACCGCACAAATGCCAGGAGTGCGGGAAATGTTTTGTGCATCGTTCCGCCCTTTTGACCCACCAGAGGATCCACACGGGAGAGAAGCCGTACCGATGCCTGGAATGCGGGAAAGCCTTTGGCCGTCGCGACGCCCTGTTGAGCCACCGCAGAACCCACACAGGGGAGAAACCCTTTAAATGCCCCGAATGCGGGAAATGTTTTGCTCAGAAAGCCCATCTTCTGAACCACCACCGACTGCACACAGGGGAGAAACCGTACATGTGCTCAGACTGCGGGAAACGCTTTGGTCAAAAAACCCAGCTGCTGAATCACCAGAGAATCCATGGCGGGAAAAAACCTTACAGCTGCCAAGAGTGTGGGACCGCTTTTCTCAGAAAACAGCACCTCCTCAATCATCAGCGAATCCACACGGGAGAGAAACCGTATGAATGTGCGGAGTGCAGGAGACGTTTTTCTAAGCAGTCAACACTTGTGGCGCATCAGAGGGTCCACACAAGAGCAAAAGCATCGTATAAATGTGCGGGTTGTGGGAAACGTTTTGTGGACAGCCGTAACTCTGGGGCTCAGGAGAATCCCCTGGGAGGGGAGAAGCCCTCTAAATGCATGGACTGTGTTAGTCAACCCGAAAACATCACGCTGCTCCCAACGGGGAACCCTGTTCCTGCCCCTCTGCCCTTGGGCACCTTCCTAATTCTCCCGCCAAATAATGTTTTGTTTGTGATGACACAATGAACATGTCAGTTGTCCCTTGTTCAGAGTTTATGTCCACATTATCCCAGGATCCCTTTCAAGGGAGGAAGAGGAAGGGTGTGAAGAAATCTGAGTTGATTGTTGGCAGGACTTATCTATTTTAGGCATTTGCACTGAGTTTTTAAAATGAGTTTTAGAGGAATTAAAGACCTAGTTGGGTGGGGAAATGAAATGATCTCTTTCACACACACACCCTTCCGTTTTAGAGTGGGTTGTTGAACTTTTTTCATGGGAGGGGAACATGCCCTTATGGGTAATACGATAGAGTCGTATATTGTGGTATGAGAAATAAGCCCAAACTAAATTACAGTATAGTAAAAGATAGTTGGACAATGTCATCAAAGCTACCAACGTGAGTTTGACCAAACTCCAGGAGGCAGTGGAAGCCAGCAGGGCCTAGCATGCTCTGATCCATAGGTTCACGAAGAGTCGGACACGACTTAACCACTAAACAACAACAACAAAATTACAGTACGATTTCCATATCTGCAGGGGATTGGATCCAAACATCTCTGCGGATGCTGAAAACCACAGGTAATAGTAAATGCTATACATAGCATGGTAAAAGTATTTTCATTATGAGTTACCAAAACTGGACACTAGTGGGAGCCAGAGACCATGCAATCTACTGTATTCTTCAACAAGAATACATTGCATAGTCTCTTGTGCCCTCTAGTAGCCGGTCTTGGTAAATACATTGGGAAATTTTGTATTTCTAGTTTTAAATATTTTCGGGCTGCAGATGAGTGAAACTGCAGATACCGATCCCATGGCTATGGGGTTCGAATTTTCTTCCTGTCTCCCTCTTACCAGACCTGTCTCTATTTTTCTGCACCTAGATTGATAAAATAATTTCACGGTTGTTGTGGGTTTTTCGGGCTCTTTGGCTGTGTTCTGAAGGTTGTTCTTCTTAACATTTCGCCAGTCTCTGTGCCCGGCATCTTCAGAGGAGAGCAACCTGAAGATGCCGGCCACAGAGATTGGCAAAACGTTAGGAAAAACAACCTTCAGAACACGGCCAAAGAGCCCGAAAAACCCACAACAACCATTAGATCCCGGCCGTGAAAGCCTTCGCGAATACAAAATAATTTCACATTTTTCTTCAACTTTTCATTCCCTTTTCTCCTTCCATTTGATTTTGGGCTGCTTCAAAATGCACCTTGTGTTTGCATTAAGTACATTGTATATCAGTGTGAAATCCCTCTGGTACCACTAGTATTTGGCAACTTAAGTTAAAATACATATTTATTTTGAAAGCATAAAAAGGCAATGGATAGATAGATCTAGATGTATAAATGAAGAACAGGCAGTAGTTGCTCTATACCATGCTCCTTGCTTACACGTTTAAGTTTCTTCTTTCTGAGTGACTTACATCACCCTCACCTTGTTTTGGCCTCACAGCAACAATCCTGTGAGGTAGGTCAGCCCAAGAGGGACTGGCTTAAGATCATCCAGTGAGCATTTTAACCACGGAAGATGCAATTTAAGACAACTTCATTTATTGATGCCAATTTATTTCTTCCTAGTTCTTTCAGAGCAACTTTCACTTCATTTTCTATATGGGCTCTATACATCACCCTCACCTTGTTTTGGCCTCACAGCAACAATCCTGTGAGGTAGGTCAGCCCAAGAGGGACTGGCTTAAGATCATCCAGTGAGCATTTTAACCACGGAAGATGCAATTTAAGACAACTTCATTTATTGATGCCAATTTATTTCTTCCTAGTTCTTTCAGAGCAACTTTCACTTCACTTTCTATATGGGCTCTTCACCATCAGATTCCTCTTCAGAAGAGTCTGTCATCCTTTTGTCTCTTCTATATGAATCTTCAGCATATTGTTTTCACCTTCTATTTATTTTATTCTGGTCAGATAGTGTATTTCTTTTTTTTGGTCTTTCAGCATTTCTAATCTAGGAGTTGGATATCATCTCCACTTTTTTGTTTCCCACTTACTTTGCTTAGAGCAGGGGTCTCCAAACTACGGCCTGTGGGCCACATGCAGCCTGCCTTGCCTTTTTATCCGGCCCAGGCATGGGAAGAGGAGGGAAAGGGGACCCAAGCGATCCCCCACTGCCACTGTCTTTACAAAGACAGTGAGGGTCGGGGATAGCTTGGGTCCCCCTTCCCTCCTTCGGCCCTCAAAAATGTGTAAAATATATGATGTGGCCCTCACACTGAAAAGTTTGGAGACCCCTGGCTTGAGTATCAGTCCAGCATCTGGCAGTTCAATGTAGTGTGAGCTCTCCCACTCCTTCCTCTCCCTTCCAAGAAAAGTAGTGTCTGAGAAAAATCTCTGTCTCAAATTTTGGGAAAAGGAAAAACAGAAGCACAAAAATGGAGAAGAATAGCAGGTGAGCACGTGCACCCTGACTAAAATGACCAGTTTGTTTGCAAAAAGGACAGTTCTCAACTGCTTTTAATTTAGAAATGCCAAAGCTGTTTCCAAATAGCAAGTGTCCAGAAAAGTAAAGGGCACTAAAATAGTAAGTAAAAACTGCTGGATAGCTCAGTAGTTTAGGTCTCTGGCTGCAGAACCAGGGATTGGGAATTCAGTTCCCCACTGGGCCTCCTTGACAGGGCTGGACTCGATGGATGATCCCTTATAGTTCTGCATTTCTCAGATTATTTAAGATTAGTATCATTCCTTTAATCACAAACAGGGTAAACTGATAGTGCTAATTTGTTATTTATTTATTTGCTGCCTTTCCCCCAGAACTGGGACCCAAGGTTAAGCTACAATAAAATTGGAAATACGAAAAGAGAATCATTCTGTTATTAAAATGCCGTGAAAAGGTAAATATTTCAAAGAATCATGTAGATCTTCACTTGGCAATGGAAGCATTCAAGGTGTGTGTGGGGGGGATGGACCCTGCCTACTGGTTGATCCCTGTGGTGGGTGCCACAAGAGAGAAAGCTGCCCGTAGTGCAAGAGGAGGCACTAAGCCATGCTAAGCCATGGTACAGGAGCCTCTGCACAAAAGATGCCATGCAGTGGTGCTTTTGTTAGGTGCTGTCAAGTCACCTCCGACTTATAAGGATCCCATGAATGAGGGATCTCCAAAATTGCATGTCTTCAATGGCCCTGCTCAGCTCTTGCAAACTCAAGCCTGTTTTTTCCTTTAGGGAATCAATCCATCCCGTATTTGATCTCCCTCTTTTCCTACTGTGTTCCACCTTTCCCAGCATTATTGTTTTTCCAGAGAATCCTTTCTTCTCACGATATGCCCAAACTAGGACATCTTCAGTTTCATTTTTTTTGCCTCCGGAGATAGTTCATGCTTGATTTGATCAACGACCCACTTGCTTGTCTTTCTGGCAGTCCAGGGATATCCACAAAGCCTTCCTCCAGCACATTTCAAACAAAACATTTTTTTTGGCCTGTCCGCCTTCTTCACTGTCCAGCTTCCACACCCATACGTGGCGACTGGAAAGACAAAGAGTGTGGATGATCTTGGTTTTCAGTGACCAGGACAAGAATAATTCAGTCTCAGCCCCATTCCCAGTATAGGTATAAGCAATGAAGGATATGAATACAGATTGAACACCTCTCTTTGCTCGCCTTGCTGAGATACGGGCTAGATACTAATGAGAGCTACACTAAACTGTTTTAATTAAGCAATTTCTGCCTGGAAAGATCTAATAATAACTTTTTGGAGAGAGAGTGAGTGGGGTGATCAATTATTGTTTATTTGTTGGCTAAATATATGAAGGCCAATCTGGGCGGTTTACAATATACGTAAGCAGCATAACTAAAATACAATTTACTAGAAAAGAAAAATAATAAGATACAGATCCACAATACAGTCAAAACTCAAACACAAATGGGCAGAATTGTTGGTGTACATTATGCTCCATGATTGGCACTGGGATTCTAAGAATTGCAACCACTCCCAAAAGGAACGTTGCTGAGCTTCCTTCGTTCCTAACTATCTGCGCTACGTCACTACCGTTTTATCCAATCACACGCCCGGATCGAAAGGACCACGGGCGCGCAGTGCATGCTGGGACTTCTCAGTCCCTATTTGAGAGGCGGCGAAGGCGGCTGCCCTGGCTATATGAGAAATAGGTCAAAATTGGAGGGTGAGATTTCTTTGGACTCCATCTCCCAGAATCCCATAGCCAGAATACTTGCTGTGGGATTCTGGGAGTTGTAGTCCAAAAAAGTCACGTCCTCCTCCGTGTCTGGAAATCCTATCTGTTAATATTTATCATGTCTTTTGGAAGAAGTAGAATCAGTAAGGAAATATTGGGAACAAGCTTTGGTGAACTGGAGCCTAGAGGATCAGCTCAATAAATGGAATATTAATCAGTATTGCCTGCTTTCTCATCCCCATACGCGTGTATTTAGAAAACTGGGTCAGAGCATACTTCATTTTCGAAGGAAAGGGAAACCACAATTCCCACAATCCTGTGTCCCGAGTAGGAGGAGGACTACAAATCCTATGTGACGCAGTCCCCGTTAGCAAAGGTCTTGGATGGAGAGGGGAGCCGGGCAAGGGTGGAGCGGTATATATCCGATAGAGACGTTTCTTGGAGGGGGGAAAAAGTCCGGAGTCACATCCGAATCCGTCCGCTTGCGAATGCTGGTGAGAATGGGGAGGGGCATCACGAAGGAGTGGGGAGATGATTGTACAACAAAAGTAGTAGTGATGGTGATGATGACTGGAGCAACGGTGATGAGGGAGGATTTGTGCTGTTCTCTTTTGCCTTAAAACTTGCTCTGCTTGTTCTATGGTCGTTAAAATAAAATTTCCCCAAAACAGAATAAAAATAAAAATAAATTACTACCGGTGCAATAACGGCAGCAACAGGAGTAATACGAGCCTAGGAATCCATGATTCTTAATGATTCTGTCAATTAACAGCCTTGCTCAGGTCTTGCAAAGGCTGTGGTGTCGTAAACACAAATTGTATGGCTACGCTTTTGGCAATGCACCAGGACTGGGTCTAGTTTTGGATGTACTAGATGCAGATTTAGGGCATGCCATGAAACAACAGCAAAATTAGGTATTTAAGTTCTTATTATTGTACTTTTACCACCAGAAAGAGGAAGGGAAGTGCTTTTGACATTTTAACCACAGGCACCAAAAGAGCTTTATGTTTAAACCCCCTTTGAATTGGCTGATAAGGAACTTATGCTGCATTTATTTATTCTGAATCTGGTAGCAAAATGTCTTGGATGGAGACCAAGATGTATGTTCTCTTTTGAGCTGGGCTGTTATTGGCCTGGCAGGTGGGAAATGGGATGAAAAACCCCCGCATCAAACTTTTAAAGGATTTTTTTGAGAATACAAAGAAAAGAAAAATGGTAGGAGAGATTTTTCATTAAGCTAATGAAACTTAGTGATGCCATTTCTGGATAAGCATTGCAGCAAATTTTTAATAGCAAAACCGCAGACACCCCCATGCAATGGCTAATTTCATAAGAATGTCATGCCAAAGACAGTTATAAAAGTCAGGATTATTTAATCCATTTGATCTGATGAGCTAATTTTTTTTTCCATAAGGGGAAATCAGAGCAAATTCGCTTCTCTACATGGGTAAGATTTAAATTATAATCTTTTCAAATTTGTGGCAGTGGCCTTTTGTGCTGCCATACAGCGAGAAAGTAGAGATAGTTTTTGTAATCTTACTCTTTTTTGCCTTATAATTAACTACATTTCTGTAAAGACCGTGGACTAGAAAGTCTAGGCTGAGGGGCCCATGTGAGCCCTTAAGCCTTTGATCAGCATTTTTGTAAAAAAAAAGGAGACAGAATTTAAAACTGACAGGAAACCATCCTTATACGATGCATTGTCCTTTTGTGTACCTCCAGAACAGCCTGGATTCACACCGGATTCTCCTCTCCTTCCTCAAGAAAGCAAATAGATGCCATGGATTCAGCTAAGGTATGAAATATTCAAGACAGGAAAAGTACGTTTTCTGAACTACAGCTCCCAGAATGCCCCAGCCAGCATAGGAGTCGTGGTCCAAACACGATTTTCTCTTTCCCTGTATTTGGAATCCGCTATTGCCTTTGTGTTGCAAAGGGAAAGGAAATTGCAGCAGAGGCCGGCCCGACCATTGGGCAGAGTGAAGTACAGTGGCCAGCTGTACCAACTAAGCAACCATTTCAGCTTGGGAAAACATGGAAGTCAGTCAATCTTTTTAAGAAATTTAAGCTGTCAATATTAAATTGTTAAAATCCAAATGATAACAAACCTATCAATTTTGAAAGAAATCAACCCTGAGTGCTCACTGGACTAAACAACAACAACAAATTGAGAACATTTTAACAAATTACAGGCAATGGGTTTATTTTCAATGGCATATTTATGCGTTCTGGTTAGACATATTTAATACCGTGGTGCCTCGCTTGACAAGGATAATCCGTTCCAGCAAAATCGCTGTAGAATGAAATCGTCGTCAAGCGAAAATAAAAATCCCATTGAAATGCATTGGAAACCGGTTCAATGCATTCCAATGGGTGAAATACCTCAGTGTCCAGTGAAGATCCTCCATAGGGCGGCCATTTTCCGGTGCCTGTAAAGTGAGGAATCGGTCCTAAAGCACAGCGGGGAGCCATTTTACACAGCAGGCGGCCATTTTGAAAGCCTGATGATCAGCTGTTTTGATCGTCGCTAAGCGAAAAATTGGTTCCCGAAGTAGGGAACTGATCATCGTGAAGCGATTTTCCCTATTAAAACGTTTTACGATCGCAAAAGCAATTGCAAAAACTTAATCGTTAAACGATTTCCTCATCTAACGAGGTAACTGTCAAGTGGGGCACCACTGTATTACATATTTCAAATGACTGCCATAGACGTAAATCATTTCTGAAAGAAATCTCCATTCAGAAGTTGAGAAAGCTGGAGAGTCTCAAATCAAAGAAGAAATAAGTTTTTTTAAAAAAATAAAAAGGGAAAAAAGATGAAAGGGACATATTCTCCGTGAACATCACATGTTCAGAAGTGGTATGCTGGGTGGCATAAAGAGGTGGACTAGGATTGCCTCAAAGCATCCACTGGCCATGAACTCACCAGGTCACCAGTTTAGTTTCTTTCCTGGCCTGACCTACCTTGTGTAGATTTCACAAAGATAAAGAGTGGAGCACATACACGCGCGCGCGCACACACGCACACACATGTTGTTGTTCCTCTGTTGTTTCTTTTAAGATTCAGAAGTTGAGAAAGCTGGAGAGTCTCAAATCAAAGAAGAAATAAGTTTTTTAAAAATTAAAAAGGTCACCAGTTTAGTCTCTTTCCTGGCCTGACCTACCCTGTGTAGATTTCACAAAGATAAAAAGTGTAGCACGCGCGCACACACACACACACACACGTTGTTGTTCCTCTGTTGTTTCCTTTAATCGTGTTGTCATTCACAGAACCAGCCTCCAAAAGAACTACCATGTTTTATTGAAAATAAGACAGGGTTTTATATTAATTTTTGCTCCAAAAAAGGCATGAGGCTTTATTTTCAGGGGATGTTTTATTTCATTTTTATGTACCACAATCTACATTTATTTAAATACAGTCATGTCATCTTCTTCTGTTTGCTGCACAAGGGTGGAGGGTGAGGTTTCACTGAACTGGGGCTTATTTTTTTGGGTAGGGCTTTATATTAGGAGCATTCTGAGAAATCATACTAGGGCTTATTTTCAGGTTAGATCTTATTTTCGGGGAAATGGTAAATATCAAGCAGAGGTCATAAATTGTTATTAGGTATGAAATGCAACCAAACACCACTTTCTTGCCAGGTCGTCTCTGTGTTCTCACGCTTATGTCTGATGGAACTGAACCATGTTCCACAAAAGCTGATATCAAAACATAGCAGTAAGACTTTAAAGCAGCACAATGGCCTTTCCCCCCTCTCTTTTGTTTCTTGTTGAAGTCGTGTGTTTTTTTTTAACCACCTTCTGTCGGCTCTGATGTCAGGATATTGCCCACTGATTGAGCTCCCTTTGTTCTTACAGGGGCCTTTGGTGAGTTTTGAAGACCTCGCCATGTATTTTACGGAGGGGGAATGGGCCCTCCTGACTCAGGACCAAAGAGCCTTATATGTAGAGGTCATGCTGGAGAATTACAAGAATGTGGCTTCATTGGGTAAGGAGTTTGCCTCATATGCTGAATGTGGGGATTCTGGGTCTCGTAATCCAAAATGTCATTTCCCCCTGCTCCATCAGGAATAGATCCCTGACATTACCTGAATCTCAATCTCTCTCTCTCTCTCTCTCTCTCTCTCTCTCTTTCTCTCTGCTTTCCTGGGAAGGATGGGTAGCCCCCAAGCCTGGCATCCATCTTCTGGCACGAGGCAAAGAATCACAGCCACCCAATCCGCTGGATCTGGATGAAGATTACTATTTCTCCAGTTCAGGTGAGCCGGCTGGGTGTGAGCCAGCAATTATGTTCTTTAGTCGTTAAGTGTGTCCGACTCTTCGTGACCCCATGGACCAGAGCACGCCAGGCCCTCCTGTCTTCCACTGCCTCCCGGAGTTGGGTTAAATTCATGTTGGCCAGTAAAGCAGCACCCAAAATACAGGGACAGACTGACACACCATTTGGGGAACCCAGCTTTGCCTTCCAGATACGGGACAACTACAAACCCCATCATCACATAGGCATGGTGGCTGGGGAAAATAGCTGGTGTAGTCTAACAGGCCTGGAAGACACCCCGTTTTGACAAAGCTATGCTGAATATCTTCAGAACCCGATTTGCAGGGGGAGTAGCATGCAGAAGAAATTGTACTGCGGTTACCGATCAGTGATTGAAGCAATCTTAATTATTTCATTAGAGGGACTCTTCGTTCTGACACCCATAGCCTGCAGGGGAAATAGCTTAGACAGAGGGGTGCCACAAGAGCCTTTATAGGCCAGATGGTGTGGAGTCTGACTCAGGCCTCACATTCTCATGGGACCTGGACTTTAGATTATTTCTAGGTGAGATTCTGCATACAGTACCGGCAGGCTAGAAAGAAGGCCATGTTGCATTGTTCTGTTCTGTGTTGAAAGTGTTAATTTGTTAAATGTAAACAATCAAAAATATACCACAATTTTTGTAACCCCCGTTTTAGTATTTCATCATGTTTTTAATATAACAGGAAATTCTAAATTAGCCCAAGAGTCTTTTCGCCACTGAGAAACCCAAGACCAGATTCTCACGTTTCACAGGCCTGCAGGCTGAAAAGTCCCCCCCCCCGTCCTGAAATACGACAAGTAATTAAAATAAACCACTTCCTGCCCAGGTTAAAAATGAATTTCCAGTGTTTTGTGTCTTTTCTCCCAGCAGCTGACCCTAGGACGATAAATATATGCTTAAAATATGGAATTTTCCCTTCTGAGATGCCAGGTTATCTCAGACCTCCAACACACCACGCAAGAGGGAACCTTTATAAATGTTTGAGTTGTCAGAAGTGTTTTCCTGAATTTTCCGAGCTCATGACACATCAAGAGAGCCACGTGAAAGAGCAGCCGCATGAATGCTTGGAGTTTGGCGAATATTTTACGGACAGGTCCCCCCTGCTTGGCCATGGACCAACCCATGGGGGGAAGAAACTTTTCCAATGCTTGCAGTGCGGAAGATATTTTCCTTCCAAGTCAGTCCTCACGACACACTTGCGCATCCACACGGGAGAAAAACCGTACAAGTGCACGGTGTGCGGGAAATCTTTTGCTCAAAAAGGAAACCTTGTTGAACACCAGAAAGTCCACACCAGAGACAAACCTCATAAATGCCTGGTGTGTGGGATACACTACTCTCAACCTTCACAACTGGTGAGACACCAAAGAGCCCACACAGGGGACGTTGTCTTTAAATGTTCGGAATGTGGGAAGTGTTTTGCTCAGAAATGGCTCCTGGATGACCATCAGCAAATCCACACTGGAAAAGTACCATTCCAGTGCTTAGACTGTGGAAAAGGCTTTTCACAGAAGGGCAATCTTGAGGAACACCGTAGAGTCCATACAGGAGAGAAACCTTACCAATGCTCCATGTGCGGGAAGCGCTTTGCCAGCCGGTCATCCTTCAAGTACCATCGCCGGGTTCACACAGGAGAGAAGCCTTTTAAATGCTCAGAATGTGGGAAAAATTTTTCTGACCGATCCGCCCTCCTCTACCACAAAAGAGGCCACAAGGGAGAGAAACCTTTCCACTGCTCAGAGTGCGGGAAATGTTTTGCCGCGAAATCGTCCTTGCTGAGCCACCGGAGAACTCACACCGGAGAAAAACCTTACCAGTGTGTGGAGTGTCTGATCAGCTTTGCAGACAAATCGTCCCTTATTTGTCACGAGAGGGTCCACACAGGAGAAAAGCCTTACGGCTGCCAGGAGTGTGGCCAATCTTTCTCCTTCAGAGGATCCCTCGTTTGCCACCAGAGATCTCACACGGGAGAAAAACCGTACAAATGTGTAGACTGTGGGAAGTCGTACTCTAACAGCTCATCGTATATTTACCATCGAGGAACACATACAGGGGAAGACCGCTTTAAATGTTTAGAGTGCGGGGCGTGTTTCGCGCCAAAGCTACTCCTTTCAAGAAACCACCAAAGTGCTAGGGTACAAAATCCGATTCATTACGCGACATGCTCGTTCTATCTCAAGGTTAGTGACGGGTTCCCCTGTAAGGGGCCTTTTTGGTGGCTGCTCCCAGGCTTTGGAAACCCTTGCAGAGGGAACTGTGGCCACCTTTTGCCAGTGGGCAAATGCACTTTCAGGAAGCCTCGGGCTTGTTGACGGCTGAAGGTCTAACCAGTTGGGTAGTGACATTTGTTATTCTTGGGTTCTTCACTGTCTTGTGTTTTATCACCCCTAGCTGCCTTGGCCAGTATGAATGGTTTTTTTGGGGGGGGGTTCTCAACTGCGAACCCCATAATTCTCCATTCTCAGAGTTCAGACAGACAGACACCTAAATGCCTTTGAGGCCTGGTTCTGCCCAAGTTTCCTGTTTCTGCCCCAGTGCTAGCATAGAGCTTTCTTTCTGAACAGGAAGTTGGAGGAAGCTAAGATGCCTCTAGTCCTCCAAGCTTTTCAGTTTAGAGCTTTCTTCCAGGCGAGCCACATTTCCACCCCTTTTAACAGGTTTGTAAAGTGCCTGTCTCTCAGATAGAACTCCCAGAATGGAGAATTCTGGGATCTGTAGTCCAAAACTGAAAATACTATCCTTATTGACCAGTATCCTGTGGCGAGTCTCAGACAGAGTAGACCTATGTACCATTTAGGAACTGAAGTCTGTTCTTAGTTGGGACTACCCACTGGCTCATGAGTACGTTGAGAAAAGAGAGGGTGTGGATAAATAATAGAAGTAAATAATAAATCTTACAGTAGAAATAACTACTTTAATAGCTGGAATCCTGTTGTGCAGCTCCACCTACACAATAGGAATTACCATATTTTTCCGTGTATAAGATGCCCCCACTTTTCGAATCCAAAATTATGAAATCTAAGTGGGGCTTAGCAAGTATAGGGGAAAGGGATCAAAGTGCTGCAGGATTGCTTTGATCCCTGCTTTCCCCTCCACTTGTTTTTGTTCTCTCCTCAGCTTCCGTGTATAAGACGATCCTCAATTTTTAGTCTAAATATTTTAGACAAAAGTATAGTCTTATACACGGAAAAATATGGTATGTGACCAGCATATAAGTTAAATAAATAAATACAGTGGTATTTAATTAATTAATTAATTAATTGTTTGATTGAT